CCTTTATTACAAGAGCAATTGAAGATAAAAGTGAAGATATTATGCTTTAATTATACAGGGGATTGGTGATACTGCAATTCCAACTGAGCAGTTTTGGTTTCCTTATTTAAGAAAGGATGTAAACGCACATGAGGTAGTTCAGAAGAGGTTTACTCAGTTGGTATCTGGAATGAGTAGGTTATTTTACAAGAATGGGTTGGACAGGTTGTGCTTATTTCTACAGAGATTAGAAGAGTGGGGGGTGACTCGATTGAAGCCTATGTGATCCTGACTGGTCTTACCGAGTTGGAGTGGAAAGGATGTTTTTCTTCTGGGCAAGCCTAGAACTAGGGGTCATAGTTTTAAAATTTGCAATTGTCCTTTTAAGGCAGAGGTAAAGAGAAATACTTCACAGAAGATTCAGAGATTTTGGAAGTTGCGGCCTTAGAAGGTGGTAGGGGGACAGTCGTTAAATATTTTTAAGGTAGCGGTTGATGTATCTTGTTAGGCAATAGAACCAAAAGATATCAGGAGTTAATGGGAACGGGGAATGCAAAACACAAACAGATCATCTGTGGCCCTATCAAATAGCAGAGAATTCCTGGTGGGCTGAAAAGTCTACCTTTGCTTCTATTTCATATGTTTGTAAAATCAACGTGTTGTTCTGGAAATCAATTAATGGTAATGCTAGCTCCGTAATAGAACGTCCTAAAAAAAAATTGTTAGAAGATCTCTAAATAATGCAAATGGCAGTCTACACCTTCAAACAAGGCTGACAATCTGAGAAAAATCTGACGGTTTAGGAAATAAAAGCAAAATACTGTGCAGTGGTGAAAATCTGAAATAAGTGTTGGGAAAACTCAAGCACAATGGACAAGATGTGCAGTGAAACAGGTATCAGGTTGATGATCTTTCATCAGAATTGAACAGAAATAGAGGTGTAAGAATTTTTAAACCATTGGTATCGGAAGGAGGCAACATGACCAAAAGTCTGTGGTAGCGTGTAGTCAGGGGAGATTTAACACTAAAAAATTACATGATGCAACGTCCATAGAGTAGTAGTTGATAAACGTGAAGAAACAAGGGTTACGTCCAAGGAGTGCCAAGTTAAAAGACAGGATGCAGTTTCTCAAGCTTGCATTGAGCTTCACTGGAGCAGAGCTGCAGGCCACAGACAATAGGGTCAGCATATGGGAGAAACGTGGAGGATTCAGATGGCAAGCAAACTGTCAAGTGTATGGACTGAATGGGAGTGTTCTGCAAACTGATTACCCAGTTTGAGTTTGATCGCACCAATGCAGATGCATAATAAGCAGTGAATCCAATGTTTTAAATTGAAAGAACAACAAGTGAATCAGTGCTTCACTGGGGGAAGCAGTGTTTGGGGCCTTGGACAGTGAGGAGAGTGGGTGAAAGATCATGTGTTGCAACTCCTATGCTTGGACAGAAAAGTGTCTTAGGGATTTTTTTTTTCATTATTTAACACTCTCCTGGCTTTCACCACCTTACAAACCTCCTCCTTTGTTCTTCCTGCCCCCCTCCAACTCCACTTGTATAAAAAGTCCTTGCAGTTTTATCTTTCTTCTGTTCTGATGAAACTAAAACATTGTCCTAAACTATTAACTCTGCTCTGAGCTTCTCCAGCACTTTTTGTTCTGGTTTTAGTTTAACAAATAAAATCTGCAAATAAAATGTAACATGTATAAAGACCCGTGATTCAGCATTTGCTTCAAGGTACTGTATTAAAGTTACATTCCTGTTAGCTTTAATTTCAGGATTTTTACTGGTATTTTGTGGTCATGTTAATTTTGCTTCTCATTTATGTTGCTTTTCAGAGAAATCTACAAGAATAAAGATGGAAAATGGCTGAAATTTTATTTCTCACTTGTGTACATTCTTGAAAACAGCTTAGGAAGTAAAATTCTCAATTACATGGAAGGTGTTAATAAGAGTTAGTGAGCACAGTCTAAGAGACACGAAGTGATCAGTAAGCCAGAAATAGTCAGCACTGTGAAGTCTGGCTTTATGAAATCTTACTTCCTACATCTTCAACAGCATTTACCAGAAGAGAAAAACCCCATGCAAGGTTGTGAAGATTTTCAACATAAAATTACATGATTTAAAAAGTGCTGCATTCCCAAATGTAAAACTGTGGAGGGTAGCACACATTTTGCAAGAATGGCTGTACTAAGGTGGTGCAGGTTTGAAAACAGCCTTTTCATCTTGGCTTGTGAACATACCAGATTGAAAAGACAATGTTACTGAAGAAAACTGACAGGCAGAAACAGCATTTAAAAGCAACATCAGCAGACGCCGCAAACCACCCCACATCTTGCTTTTCAATTGGTACTTGTGCTTAACTCAGTCTGCTTTCGCCAGACAAGCATCTGTACAAACCCTGGAGGGACTGGTGGTGTGTTCAGGTCAGTGTTTGTAGCCTGTGCTATTCAGACACTGTAAAGCTCAACAGGGTAGCAGATGGGAGAAATGATATCTGACAACAGAATCAAGCCAGCATTGCATTTTATAAATCCACACTGTAGATAACAACGGCTAAAGTGATCCATAAACACTAAGTGCAATGTTAGAAAGATATTTCTCACGATTATTTTGAAGATAAGCTTTAAAACAAAGTCTCCTCTGTGCTATTCTCTGGAATTTCTTGCACAAATTTCTTTCCCTGTCTCTT